AAGGGAGGCAGGAAGGCTGGGTAAAGGGATGCCTCTCTCAGGGACAGCTCAGTTTTGGGTTGTTTTTAGCTGGCCACAAAACCATACCCATATCTTTGGAGAAAAGGAGCCTGCATGGATCCTATGGTTTAATAAATGACAGCCTAACCAGTACACAGCCAGTACAGATTAATCCAAGAAAAGACTTGCCAGCTGCTTTCAGTGAGGTCAAGCAAGTGGCATATTTGTTTATTGCACCACTAAACATTCATTTTTAAACTGCCAATCAGCAAATTCATAGCTATTGTATATCTAGAAAGCCCACTTTTCTTTTCTTTCCCAAAAGAAAAAGGTTGGTTCAAAACATCACAATGTATACTTTTCACTGATAGGAGATTTCAGCACATACTGTTTACTGGGTTGTCTGTGAAGAGGCCCACTATGCATAAATCAGTCCAGAGAAATAGAGGATTGTTTTATTACACAATGAAGATTTCCAAAAAGGTCTTAATTCCTTGTTCAGGAAGTGGCACCACTGTTTACTTGAAACAGATACATTACGTGGCCTGGAGGAATTTTTTTTAAGGAGACAGACTTGCTGTCATTGTGAGTAAGAGTGTTGTATTGTTCTTGAAAATGACAATTAGGAATGTATTTTGATTTGAAGGTAATTAGCAAAAAGGGCAAAACGCTACTCCAAAGCTTGACAAATTTTCCAAATGAGGAAAACTAAAATGAGTCCAGCTCTTGGGATACATTTCAGATTATTCAAAAATATTGCTTAATATCAACAAGAAATCAGCTATGAAGAATTTCTGTAATTTCCATGGTATTAACTGCAATGCATTTCATATACAAATTAGCAGACCTGACAAGATGCTATGCCAACATCTTAAATCTCTCAAATTTTTTTACCCTGAGGTCAGATTATCAAGATGTTAATGTGTAGAAAGACTACTCTCTGTCCTTTTTCATATGAACTCCCCTGCTGAATCCTCTCAGTTGCTTTTTCTCAACCACAGTACCTATAGTCCTTCCACCTTCCAGCCTCCACTCACCTCCTCAAGACCTCTGTGGACACTTCTCACCTTCTTTCTTCCCGTTTACTTCCCTGAAATGCATCAGTCCACGGGCTGATGAACTTCCCATCAAACCTTCATGCCTTTCCCCGTTCTTAGTCCTGTGCTTTCACCTACTCGGGGACACATTATACTACAGGTGCAAAATGAAGTTCTGCCACTCCAAGGATAATTTCTTTTCCAATTACCTCTAATTCTGTGTAAACTGCTGAAAGGGCAAGTATAAGCCAATTTAAAAGGAGAAAGATAAAACCGAAAAAATTTACAATTATATTACAATACACAACACTCAAAACCTTTGTCTTGAAAGAGATCATGTTCTCATGCCTCAACCCCCCATGGAGCAGAACTGACCTGTTCTACCATAGCACATGTTGTCATATGGTAGCTCAGAATCTCTGCTGTATGCAGATTTTGCTGTTTGCAAGATGGGATGAGTGAGAGGCTTGTCAGACACGCAGTTGCTGTTCCAGAGTCCCCAGATAAATCAGCGTTTGTCTGGACAGCTCTAAACAATAGCAGCTGCTAACAGTCCCCCCGGGATCATCTTTTGATTTCAGATTACCAGACACAGCAGGGCATCCTTTCCTTCTTCTGGGATAGTCCTTGTGCTGGGATGGAGGGGAGAAGATTTATGAACCAAATATGCAAGCCTAAGCTGAGAATTGCCAGCGTGGTAGAGACAACTAATCTGTTGGTGAATGCTCGAGAGCTTTCTGGTGCTTTTGTGTTCTTTCTTGCAGGGAATCTACCTTTTGCCCTACTAATAGCAGCTCATTAATTGATCAGTGCAGGTATTATACACCAGAAAGGCTTCATTGCTGTTTATTCTGATGCTTCGTATAGTTGTTTATGCTTTCCAGGACTGTGTTGTCCTATTAGCTTCGTGTGTCTGTTGTAATTTGTACTGAATCCACTCCTCTGTTCCATCTCACTTGAGAAAGCCTTTATCTCGTGTTTTTCCCACAGAGAAATCTGATTGTCAGATCCGTGATTGATTCTGTAACAATCTGATTGTTACATCCACTGATGTAAAAGAACAAGAAGCTGTTGTCTGCATACCTGGGACATGATTTCAGACAAGACAGCTTTAATAGCAGCAGTGATCCTTAAAAAACTTAATCCTTTTTGGTGATATCTTTGTATTTCTTGCCAAAAATATTCTGATGTTTCAGTTATAATGTAGTGCACTCATTTTTTTTTTACTAATCTTCAGAAAGTGCAGAATCCTGTTTCAACAACGACAAAACAATTAAGATTTCAAATTCCATGACCGGCTCAGTGAATGGCTCTCCAAAGTCACAAAAGCTTCCACAAGATTCTTATGCTGCTGATACCTATTTCAAATGTGTCCGTAAAGTGTCAGTCTTACGGTGCTACCTAACTATTGCTTGAAGAATTGTTCGTACCTGTTGCTTGTGGTAGGAATTTCTGTACCTGTCACTAGAGGGCAACGCAGCTGCTCACATCATCACACCACTCGGATGAGTTCCCAAGAAGCTCCCTGCTGAGATCTGCCGGTGCGAAGTTCACGCAAAAATTTGCAATTTTTTCTCTACAAACCCCATGCTCGGGTGCTAACTTTGATAGTTACTTGTTGAATACTCTTGAATCGACGATCCAGAATGACACTGAGAGGAGACTGATGTTGCTTACAGCAAGAAACCTTGACTTCTCTGTTTATGCCACTTCCTCATAGGGATCATTGCCCGCTGCAGTGCTGAGAACAACTGCAATCAGTTTTTGACACGTAGTCCCTGATTTTGAACTTCTGATGCTAATGAAAGATTTATCACTGACTTGGTTTCAGGCAGGATTTGGTCTTTGGTACTGATTTTTACCCACAAATGCGTATACCAGGATATTATTGGTCCGTGTTTGCTTAAACTGACCTTCTGAAAAGTGATTCAAATGCAGTAGGTATCCGAGTTCCATATAGGCTGGGGAAAAAAAAAGAAAAAAAAAAAGAAAAATTTTTATTCAGTCACATGTTACTCAAATATTGCCAAACAGGCGGACTTGCCTTAACTCGCATCACCTGAAATGGAAACAATCTATCATTTTGAACACTCCTAAATGCAATAATACTCTCATTTAACGATGACTATCCTGGCTACATTAAAGGGTGATGCAATTTCCAAATGAGATAACGCCGTGTGATTATATAGTATCGAAGGTGAATTTAGTCATTTCAGAGATAAAGATTTTACACTCCCTATGATTTTTGCTGTGTTGCCAACACCTACTCTGCCTTGGAGTCAGAGTTGTCTGATTTCATGTGATTATCTCGGGAAGGTTTCCAAGTACGTTTTTGTTGGATTACCACCTATTTTCTTCCCTGCTTATTCAAGTGGTGTCTCTCAGTCATCTTTCAAGGAGCATATAAATATGTATATTTAAGTCGAACAAATTCAAACATGAAGTTCACATATTGACTCCTTCCTCCTGCTTCTCAGCAGACACATTTGCAGTGTAACCCCACAGTTTTCCTCCCATTCCACATAGCAGGTAACTCTAACCAAAATAAACGATCAACATTTTTTTTTTAATAAAGAAGGTAAAAGACATCCATATTTAGGTCTTTCAAGAATTTTCTTTAATGATAAGAGAGAGAAAGTCTTGTCAAATTATAAGAGTTAAAACATGGTGAAGTCAGTGCATGGGAGAAAGGCTCTAGATCTGTTCCCCTCCCCTAGAATACCATGCTAGAAGGCACATAGTTCAACAGAAATATAACATTATATATCTCTTTTAACCAAGTAGCCTTGTACTTTGCATACATCCCATGTCATATATGATATGTAAGTCCCTCCCATGAACTAAGAAGGGCCTGGATGTGGATATCTTCCATTTTCACATATGTTTCTCCTACATTGGGATACTACATATACTTGTATTAAAATATAGTTTCAAGATTTTTTTTCTTAAAGTTTTTGGGTAAAAAAAATGGTATTTTTTAATTTAATGGTAACTTTTTGTTTAATAAGAACTTTTATTAACACAGTGTCTTCTATTTGGAATGCAGGACTTGTTATTTGGGATTGGCTCATACCTTCCCTTCCTTCAACATCCTTTTCTGACATTGACCAGTATAGTAAACTTCAGAAGAAGGCAGATGAAATCCCACTGCTGGTTATAATTTTTTTTGTAATAAAAATTATACAGCATTTACAACAGTTACATTCTAACACTCAGCTATATCCACATTTATATTTTGAAATAAACATAAACACTGTCTTAGTTTTTGTTGCTGGAGGCCAGTTTCACTTTCTTTCTCTTAGCCCTTTTCAATCTTAAAGACAATAAAAGGTGATGAAAAAGTCTTTGTGGTGAATCCCAAGACTGAGATATCCCCAGGGCAATGTGGTTAGTGCAGAACGAAGAAAGGCATTTAATTCTGTAGATAGAATCCAGTCCTTTCAGTAAGTGAATACAACCCTATTAAAAACTCATCGTAAACCAAAACAATAACAAAACCCGCTAAGCACAGATTTTGTTGGATTTGCAGATAAATTCTCTCACGAGTCCCTATGCATGCAGAAGGTTTTGTCTGCTGCCGTCTGATCACACACCAGGAACATACAGGGGCTGAGGAGATTTATTTTAACAACCCTTCTTCTGAATCAAAACACGACCCAAAATCAGAATGTGAACTTTTGCGCCCCCGGACGGTTTTGAGTTTGGTTTGTTTACTTTTTCTTTTAGCCCTCTGGTAAGAAAAACGAGAAGAACCCATCAGGGATTGATCAATAGAGGATAACAGTGAGGGCTGCGCCGCCCGCCGCGGCGCTGGACGGAGTCGCGCCCCGCGCAGGTGAGAGCTTTTGGCGGGGCGGGAAGGAGGGAGGGGACAAGGAGAGGGATGTCTCCCTTCTCCCCGGCCCTGGGGCGGGCCGGGGGGACCTGAGTGGATGGGTCTCACGTCAGTCAGGGGCAGGGCGAGGCCGGCGGCGGGGGATGGCGTCCCCCGCCCGGTGCGGGGCTGCAGTCGTGGAGGAGCGGCGGCACCATGCGGGCGGCCGCCGGGGTAGGGCGGGAGGCACCTGCTCCCTGCGAGGCAGGCGGGAGGGCTCCCTCCGCGGGACTGTCGCTATCTCGGCTTTGCTGCCGCTGCGACAGTCCCGCGGAGGGAGGCTCATCCAGCGCTGTTCGGTTCATCCCTTTCTTTCTAGGACGTGGTGGGCATCCTGTGCTTGGTTTCTGTGGCGGCCACGCTGGATTTCAAGTACCACCACGCCGAGGAGCTGGAGAAGTACCTGAAGGGGGTTCACGCCGAGTACCCCTCCCTCACCCACTTGCACAGCATCGGGCGATCGGTGGAAGGTAAGGCGGGGGGAGCGGAGAGGGGAGAGAAGGCTTTTTGTTTTAATTAAATTGGGACAGGTGAGGGTAAAGGTGGCTGTGGTAGCGTTTCGTGGGCGCTTGCTGGCGGCGGGGCTGCTCTAACAAATCTCTGTCAAGTTTCCTCTTCCTCTTCCTTAAGCGTGAATAACACACTCTGGCTGAAGAGTCTTCGTATGACGGGTATATCGGGGTAAAAGTTCTCCCAACACCTACATGTCTTTGAGAATTGGAAACCTCCTAAGTGGCAGTTTCAGAAAGAGGGCTGTCTTTAAGGAGTTTAAAATGTGTAGGACCCACTTGCCAAGTGCCTGTTCTACGTGGGACTGCAATGACACTGTGTTTTCTAACTTGTGGTTTTGTTAAAAATACCTTCTTTTTTGTTTGTTTGGATTTTAACTTTATCCATTATTCCAGTAAATCTGGACTGACTAGAAAAAGGATTTCAAATTCCGTACTGATACAAGGTTCTGTGCTTTAAATGAAGAATGGGACTTCAGTCTCAAACCCTACAGAAAAATGTACTGAAATCAATAATCACCTTTCTGGCCTTATATAAATATTTGATTTTGTCTCTCTATGACTGGTACTTTCTTACCATAAATTTATTGGAGGGGGAAGAATTTCTATTTTTTTTTAAAGATATTCGAAAGATTAGTGTTTTGTTAGCAAATAAAAACCACTTTAGTAGATTCCAGTTCAGGAAACTAAGTTACTTTGATAAGAGGTATAAAACTAGATAGAGAATTCCTTCTTTAGAAACATCATCTGTTCCTCTAATCCCATTTCATACCACTGGAAGGAGACAGTTGTAGCTTCTATTATCAAATCTGTGCTTGAGTTTAAAAAAAAAAAAAATCCGTATTCTACTTGGTAGATAATCATGATGAATGCTAGTATTTCCTTTTCCTGCTTACTTCTTTGTTTTACCATGTATATCATAGTAGACAAGGAATGTAAAGTTATTTAAACTGTGTTGGTATTGGTTTCATCAAAGGCAGAATTAGATTGGATTGTGTTATTCATGCACGCAAGAGAAGACTAGTTCCTGTGAGTATAGTTCCCTCCAGTACAAACTACCAATTACCCACATCCTCATTTTCCTACCTTAAGGGAACTTAGCTAACATTCTGATGATAGGAATAGATCCTGACTTTTCTGCCAGGAACTCTGCTGGCTTATCTTCATGCAGGTAGGAAAAAACCTTTCATCCAACCTGAGAGATTGAAACTCTGGCTTTTACATATCTAGATACGTTAAAGTTGATAACATGAAGTGTTCAACTTGTCTTTGTTCCATCAGGATGGAAACTGGAAATTCATCATCTCTTGCTTTTGACTGAGCAGTGCACTGAAACCTCATTCAGATTTTGATACATTGCCTTCTGCTTTGCCAAACTTAGTGAGAGGAGAATTGTGTGGGCTTTCCTTGTTCTGCCAACTACATGTCATGATTCATGACTCTGTGCCTGCAGTGTTTTCCTGAATGGAATAGGTGGGCAGTGGAAAGTTTTTCAGTGCCATGTAAAGCAGAATGGTAGTGAAAAATGTTCAGTGCTTCTCTTTTATCTCATTGTAAATGTTAAGAGATTTCTACCTGTGTTAAGAAATGTGCCTTCAGAGTCCCCTGGAATGTGGCAGAGGATGGTACTGAATTAGGGTCTAATTTCCTTTCATTTCTTTCAGTAAAAAAAAAAAAAAAAGTTTTATGACAACAGTGGTTATTTAATTTTGGTGAAAATGAAGTTTCTATTTTGGTCAATGGGCTGAAGTTCTATTCCTCTTTTCTCAGTTAAGCTGACACAAACAAGACTGTATGTGCATGCACTTACTTTACTAGTGTTGTCTCTGCCAATTAGCATTAAATCATGATAGCAAAATGTACTTATTTAAATTAATTTCCACTTCTCGTTATCAATAGCATAAAACTGAGATCAATGCAATGTAGTAAATTGACATTCCTGATATGGAAATTCTTGATGATGAATACAAAATCCCATGGATCAAAGTAGTGTCTATAAAGCCAACAGACATAATTTTACTGTTATCATAAATGGCTACTGTTCCCATATTATTTGTTAATCTAGGGTTTACTACAATTTTATCTAATAATCTAGTATTTTATTCTACCATCTAGATTTGGATTATGAAGAATGTTTGACTACTCCGTGTGTAGACACAGAGCTCTGCCAGGGTGTAGAGTCTTCTTGCAGAATCCTACAGTTTAGGTCTGGGGCCCATCTAGTCTGAGCTCCTATTCAAAGCAAGGCCAATTTGAGAGTTAGATTATGATGCTCAGGGCCCTCTCCACTCAAGTTCTGAATATCTGCAAAGATGGAGATTCTAAAGGGTCTCTGAGTACCTGATCCAGTGGTCAACTACCTTTGTTGTGCAGATGTTTTCCTTTTTCTGATTAGAATTTCCCTTGCTATGAGTAATGTTAACTGTCCTTTTGCTGTGTGCCTCTAAAGGTTTGGCTCTGTCTCTCTGTAATGTCCCTTTATTTACTGGAAGATTGTAGTTGTATCCAGGCTAAATAAACTGACCTACCCCAGCCTCTCCTCAGACACAATGTGATCATCTCAGTGACACTCTGCTGGACTTCCTCTGATGTGGTGTTGTCTCTCTTGTGTCCAAGAACTCATAGCAGGGCATGGTACTCCAGATGTAGCTTTAATAATGCTGAGTGGAGGGGAATATTAATTTCTCTCAAGATACTGGTTTCAGTTCTTGCTGATGCACCCACCCCAACACACAGACGTTTTTTTCTGCTGTGAGAACACATTAATGACTCACATTTATCTTGTCTACCTGGGCATTGATCCCACATCCTGCAGCCTCTAGGCTGCACAGCTGCCACCTAACCAATCTACAGCCTGTACAAGCATGGGGTTATTTTCTTGGGTTCATGATCCAAATGTGGTTCATTCCAGGTGCAGGGTTTTGCATTTACATTTGTCAGACTTAATGAACTTTCTTTTGAAAAGTTCCTACAACTTGCCAACGCCCCTCTGAATGGTAGCCCTGGCCTTCCTGAAGATATTAAACAGTATCAGCTTTAGTATTGACTGTTGAGGAATGTTGCTAATGATTTGCTGTCTCTTGAACCACCAGCTGCTCAGTTCAGCCAGCCTGTGACCTTACTGTAGTCTACTCCTTTATTCCGTATGTTCCCATCTTGTTTTCGAAGGTACTGTGAGGGTGACTAGGCACTGGAACAGGCTGCTCAGGGAAGTCATGAGGTCTCCATCCTTGGAGATATTCAGAAGCTGTCTAGACACAGTTCTGGGTGTAGCAGGCCCTGCTTGAGCAGGGGGGTTGGACCAGGTGACCTCTGAAGGTCCAATCCAACTGACCCTGTGATTCTGTTGAAAGCCTTGCTAAGGTCAAGACTAAAGAGATAGGGTGCTTTCCTCTTTCCCACTAAGTCAGTCATTTCTGCATAAAACCTAAGCAGTCAAGTATGATTTGTCATTGATAAATTTTAGGTGAAATTTACAAAGTGGATTTATTTGATGTATGTAGACAGCAATGTACGCAGAAAAAACAGTACCAAGATCCTCAATGGAACGCAAACTGAAAGAAGCTCAGTCTGTTTTGTGATGGTTTGCATCGCCATATAGAAATTCCCCTCTGACAGATTACTGGGAAGAATGTGTTTGAGACTGGCTATGACCTGTTCAGTCTCCACGTTTGCACATTTGGAAGCTATGATATTTAATTATGCATCTTCTCTGCTAAGCTATTATCCTTAAGCAAGGGGGGAAAGGAGCTTAAAAAGATGTAGCCCATTGGCTGACAAAACTGAGTGTTATGTGTTTGATCTAATTTAGTGAGCATCCTCAAATCCTTCAAGACTCGTAGGCGATCTACATGTTTGTGAGAGACTTGATATGGTCTTAGCGGCCAGTAGGCAGAGATGTGTGATGGCCCAGAAAATATCTTAATTCTTTTATATTGTTTCAGGTGTGTTGTTGAATAAACTCATAAAAGATCTTTGGCAGGAGTTCTGTTTTCTAATACGTCCAACCTCAGAACGGCATGTGCTCTGTATAATAATAGAGGAAGCTGCAGAGCTACATCAATCTGGAGAATGTGACCTGATGTAATCATATTAACCTGTCCTGCCTAATGCCACTCCAGTGAAAAACAGACTGACTCTTCAGCAAGCAAATCTTAGAGTCCATTAGCAAAAAGAAAATATTTGATGTATGCATGTGATCTGTGGCTTTTCATTGTTCAAGATACAGTGCTCTTGTGATCCTTTGAAAAGAAAATGAAGGTGGTGGGAAGCAGACTTAAGGATTCTAACAGACCTGATGATCTTCTTAGGAGGACAAAGACAAGCAACTCTTGAAAGAGCCAAGTGACTTTCATAATAGATCCACACTCTTTAAAAACTCTTTTCAAATACTCTCTGGATTCAGATAAAGCCAATTATAGGTTGGTTTAGATCTAGATTTTCTGGAGGCCAGTCTGCATTTTTGGAATTCCAGTCAACTTGGAACAATTGTAAACATCCTTAGGCCAGATTCTCCTCACTGAGCAAAAAGTTATGTTTGGTTAAAGTACTTCTGTCTTTACCTAGTGAAGTTTCAAAGTTGGTTTCATAGATTGACATGTCTGGCAGATTCCATCATTGGAGAGTCAAAAACTAAAACAAACTGACCAGATTTAATTCTGGTTCCACCAGAAATTCTCAGAAATATCTTGCAAAAAACTGTCCTAAAGCTTATTTAGGTGAGAACTATGTGGTTTAGTCATCCTATTCTGATGCTTAGTATTCAATTGCTCTCTCTATTGCCCTTGGCCTGGCACATTCTGTCCATTAATCTTAAGCACTTTGCTAACTTTGATTTTTTTATTTTCTTTATTTTGTGAATTAGTGAATATTGCTTATTAGCATTCTGCTACCCCTGCTCTATAAGTGGAGAGGCTGAAACATGCAGGGGGGGGGGTGTATGGTTTGTGTGGGTTTTAAAG